TGTCCATTAGATCAAATAAGCCAGGCTTGAAGCTGCTTCCAGCCAGCGTGAGCTGATCCATGCTGTAACCACCCTGGATAAATTGCGCCTTCTGTTTGTGCCGGCTGCCATCTCACTAGGTCATGAGCATGACTTACGAGTTAAACACCTTTGCGATACCCTGAGCGACAAGCATGGGCCAGCGGCCGGTAAGTACTGTCACCTCACTTGTAACCAGCTGGTTAACGTCCCTTCCTTTCAGCATGCTGCACCGTGGGTTTGTAGCCAGGGCCTGTTCACCTCCGTGGGCAGCCCTGAAGCATGAGCCTCCTCTGGCTAAGAAGCTCTGGCTCTTCTCAGTAGAAAATCACTCCTACTAATCATACACACCCCAAGCCCTCAAACAGGGAACCCCAACTTTGTCCAACCAAAGCCTGGTGGCCACCATGCTGAGGAGCACTTTGCTGTAGATGGCTGCTGGCTTGTTTGGTGGGGAAGCAAAGCAGTGGAGGGCCACTGCACCAAAGCCAGTCTGTAAAACCACACCACATTTGTGTGTCCTCTGCTGACCAGAACTTCTAGAAGATCAGCCTGAGGGACCTGTCAGCATAGAGAAGTATTGGTTCTTTCTCCATCAAAAGGTGCTGGGAAGAGAGAAGCAGCAGCAGCCCATAGCTTAGAGAAGACCTCTGTGTGCCATCTTACTGTCTTGCAGGATGGTGCCTGTCTGTCTGTCCTGCAGACACATCCAGCAGTGACTGGCATGAGTTGGTGCCAGCCCTTATATCACACTGGCACTTCTTGTGCCTGCCATGTAGGATCTTTGATGGATCTTTGTCCAAGACATTTGTATTCAAGGACTCAAACATTAGCATTTGTATGCAGCATTGTGTGGCAGATAACTCACCTAGCCGTGCTGATATTCCTGCTCCCTAGGATGTAAATGTTCATATGCCTGGAATTTGTCTTGGTTCTGCAAGTGGGAAGAGGCTGCCTTCCAGGACAGCTTTTATTTCCCAGAAATGTTGATGCTAAATGGCAGTTCTTCATCTGCATGATGGATGGAGATAAGGAATTCTAAAAATACAAGCAGAGATGTTGAATAATTCACCTCAGACCTTCCTGAGTTTAGTACTTTGTGTTCAAGCCCTTGATTAATTTTAGTCTGTATCCCAGAAGAGCTCCAAACTTTCCTTCTGTCATGAGGCTGGAAAGAGCTGGTGCCCTGATGTGCCTGTTTTCTGGACTGCAGATGGCTTTGCCTGCCTCCTGCAGGGTATGCAGAGCTTCCCATGCAAAAACCCAGGGCAGGTGTGGTGAGAAGATGACTTTTGTCTCATACAAGGATGGGTGCAAAGCCAGAACCAACTTTTCCAGAAGAATCTTGTTTTCCTTGTGTAAACCAAAATCTTGGAGCGAGCAGAGCTGCTGGAAGCTCAGTGTGGATTTTGTTCTCTTTTAAAGCCATCTTGCCCTTGCAGGGAGGGACGACGTGTTTGACATCGAGATCGACGCGTACGTCCACTGCGTCAGTGCCTTTGTCAAACTGGCCCAGAGCGAGTACCAGCTCCTGACAGAGATCGTCCCAGAGCACCACCAGAAGAAGACCTTTGATTCTCTCATCCAGGTCAGTTGAGCCTCTCTGCTTGGCTTCTCTTGTAAAGGATACACACAAAACCTTTTTCACTTCCTGTTACTCTGAGGATATGGATTCCGCCACTCCTGTGGGGGCCCAAGAGCACTACCACTGCTGGGGTTGTCCTGCAGGATCTGCACAGGCTCTGGAGAACATGTGCTCAGAGTCCCTCACTGGTACCACAAATGACACTGGTACCACAAATGACACTGGCACAGGTTGCTCAGGGAGGTTGTGGATGCCCCAACCTTGGCAGTGTTCAAAGCCAGGTTGGATGAAGCCTTGAGCAACCCTAGTGGGAGGTTTCCCTGCCCCCAGTAGGGAAGGGTGGGACTAGGTGATCTCTAGTTCCATTCCAACCTCTTAAGATACTATGACCCATTAGCTAAATGGCTATCTGTAACAAGTGTCCTACATCAAGCCCCTTATGCCACCTGGGCAAAAGTCATGCTGCTTCCTTCTGACTCTCTGGCTCTGTTGCAGGAGTCATTAGATAACTTGATCATGGAAGGGGATAACATTGTCTCAGCTGCCCGGAAAGCCATCATCCGACACGACTATTCGGCCGTGCTCACCATCTTCCCCATCCTTAAGCATCTTAAGCAGATGAAGCCAGAATTTGACCAGGTCTTGCAGGTAAGCATGATGGGATTGGAGATGGTTCTGTGGCTTAGGTTGTCTGGAGAACTTCTTGAAAGGGATTTTTCACAGTGGCTTTGAGCAAAACTGTGCTGCTTCTGTCCTGCAGCATGGACTGGAAGTGGCACAAATGCACCTTGCTCCTCTCTGTGAGGGTGAACCAGCAGCTCAGCATCTCTCAGCAGGAGTTCTTTTCAGTTCATGTCCTGACCCCATGTTGCACCATCTACATCATTCTTCTGTTTTCATGGCCTCTGAGGTGTTTCATTTCTGGTCCAGCTGAGCTTAGTTAAGACTGTGCTTGCTGATATCTGGAATATAGGCTGCTCTGAGGAGAGCCTGCTAGGACCATGTCACAAGGTTCTCCAGGTATCAAGTATGGCATCCAGGTTTAGCAAGGCTCCTTTTCATCTGCTTCCAGCTGTGATGCATCAGCCTCCTGTGTAGGGTACTGTGTAAGAGGAAATGTGAGAGGCAGCAGGTCCTGGTCACCATTAAAGTCATAACATCTTCCCTTTCTGCCCGGCAGGAGATTAGAGGATCTCATGTGTGGTTTATGTGCTGTAAATATTCTCCTGGCACATGGGGAATTGAGGTTGAGATGTTGGGCTGGAGGATCAGGGAGGGTAGATGCTGGATGGAAATTCATACACTGTTCATTCATTTCCTTCACTGATCTGTTATGGAACTATTCCAGGGAACTGCAGCAGGCACTAAGAACAAACTACCAGGGCTGATCACTTCCATGGAGACCACTGGTGCGAAGGCACTGGAAGAGTTTGCAGACAACATTAAGGTAGGATTCTCCTCTGTTCTCTAACCAGCAGGCTTGGAAAAGGGGTTTTCTGAACAGAACCTGTAGTTTAGCTTTCAGCTTTCCGAGAGGCCATGTAGTTCCTGACTAAAACAGGAGCCTGCTGAATTGCTTTGTACAGTCAAATACCAAGTGGTTGGTGCTGATTTCACATACAGGAAGCCTCTACCTCAGACCCTTAAAATCATTTGACACAAGCTTCCAGGCCTCTGCAGATAGCAAGTCCATCTTGGAATTTAATCCTGTTCAAAATGAAAGGAAAATTGCTGACTTGAAAACTTTTGGAGGACACATGTTAACCTGACCCTCTGTAAAGTGGGCTTGGTGAATGCACTGCCTGGTAGGTGAGCTGAAGGTGTGATGGTCACATGCTGAACAGGCCCCTGTGGTTCTGAGCTGCTGGTGCACAGGAGCTGTGGTTTCTGAGCACCAGGAGATGGCACTACAAGAGCCAGGTCTGAGGCTGTTGAGAGAGACTGAATAAACAGGCCTACAGCTCACTTGTAGCAGCAGTTGTAGATGCCTTCAGTTTCCTTACATGTTTACCTTATGTCTCTCTCTTTCCTTCTTAGAATGATCCAGACAAGGAGTATAACATGCCAAAAGATGGGACAGTTCATGAACTCACCAGCAACGTACGTGAGGATGATTTCATCCATCTTTTGTGGAAAACAGCTTCTGAAGGGGATTTAAAAAGAGCAGTAGGAAAACTTCTCAAGTTAAGCTGTCTTGGTGTAAACAATTGATCACCTGGCTTCCATGACAGATTAGCTGGTGCTCCTTGCTCAGACAGTATGACTGTGTGGGGAAAACACAGCAGCTCAAAGAGTGTAGTGATTTGTTTCTTGAAGGCTTTTAAGTGTATGTGGGGCAATGGGTCTTCCATGATCCTTCTTAGCAGAGCATAGGAGATGCAGTGTGGGTTGCTTGTAACTTCCCTCCCTTGCTTTCAGGCCATCCTTTTCCTACAGCAATTGCTGGATTTCCAGGAGACAGCAGGTGCCATGCTGGCATCACAAGGTACAACATACATACTTGTTGCATGGGGTTTGTTTGGGCATGTGGTTCCTTCCTCAAATTGTCTGGACATCTTCCTTGAAATGATCAAACCTTAACATGCACTGTGAGCTTGTTCTCCTCTTGTCCTTCACCCTGTGGTTTGTCTTGTCTTCCAATCTGCCCTGACCACATAGTTGGTTATCTGGAGAGCTCCAAGGGATGCAGAGTTCCCTGCTGGCCTTCCACACTTAACTCCTGTCAGGTATTCTGGGGATGGTGTTTATTGCAGTGTGCTCTGTGATATCAAGAGAGGTCATTTAACCTCAAATATGACACTGGGCTGGTGCTGTGGGACTGGGCAGGACTGAGGGTGGCTGGTCCAGCTGAGTTAGCTGTTGCTGGGCTGTGTGTGACCTTCCTCTGCCACATCCCCTGCCCAGAGTACAACAGCAGTAGCAAGAATCTCCTCAGCATCCAGTCATGGGCAAGCTGGGATTCCTGAGCTACTCCTGGGCCATGTGCCCTGTCAGAGGGACAAGTTTTAGCTCTGCTCTCCAGGATGGTTCTGTGCAGAGCAGCTCCAGTGAGCCCTTGACCTCGGCAGTGCTTGTGGATTCAAGTAGTTTGGAACAGAGCAAGCTGGAGAGGTGAAGAGCTGGGGGGGCACAGGGCTCTGAGGAGGCACAGGCCGGTAGCTGGTGTTTGGAGAGGGTTAGGGAGCCCATTAGGAGCAGAGGAAGGGGGAAGCTTCCAGCTGCCTCCGGACTGTTATCTGCAAATTCCTGCTAGGAAATTTCTGTCAGTTCTAAGTTAACTCAAGCTCTGATGTCTTTGCTCCCTGCCACATCTCCTCTAGCCATTGCCTTGTGCTCTCTCCACTTGCAAGCTCAGTGTGCTCCTGGGCCTTGGCTCTCTCTCCTTGGCCAAAGAAGTGGTCTGAGCTTTTACTTGAAAAAATCAATTGTTTCCCATGCCTTTCCCTGAATGTCAGCACTGTTGTTTGGAAGTCTTGACATGTTGTCATGCAGTGGGGATCTGTCTTTGGAGCTGACTGAAAAGGCAGCATAGGCTTGGGGTAGCTTTGCCTTGAAAGTGGGTTTGAACTGGTTTGAGATGAGGTGTGCTGATAAATACAACAGTGATAATGCAAACAATGTCTCTAGCAGGGGAAGGAGGTTGGACTCTGCCTTTCCTCTGTGAACTCCTCTCCGTTTGTGGCCTTGGAGGGACTCCTACCTGCTCTCCTGCATACCTGTCTGTGGCTGCTCTATGTTAATATCTGCTTTGTTCTCAAAGGGATAGTGGTCTCTAACCTGTCTTTTTGCACTTTGCATTTCTTTTTCTCTTTCCTCCCTCCCCTTTTCTCTCTGCTCTGCCTAATCTTTGTAGTTCTTGGGGACACATACAATATTCCTTTAGATCCCAGAGGTAAGCAGATTTACCCACAAGTACCTGTTCATATGACCTCGGACTCTGGTGATGTATGTTAATTCTTTATCCTCCAGGAGTGGTAAATAAATTAACACAATTGAAAAGGGGTAAAGGGGAGGGTAAATAATTCTTGCCAGTGGGACGGAGAGAGTAGAGAGGGCTTGTCACCAGCAGACAATGAGGGATGCCACATGAGTTGAAACAGGTTCAAGACTCTCATAGCACTGAATCTCCTTGGCACAGGTAGCAAATTGGCCCAGCTGGTATCATGCTTTAACCCATGTGTGCTCAGCTCCTTATTGTCCAGCTCCCAGCAACAGGAGCCTCGAGGCCTTTCCCATGGGGTGCTTGTGAGCTCGGACCACCCCAGCTAGGCCCAGCTGCCAAACTGGCTGGTGGGGGCAGGAGGAGATGCCTACCCCACGTGTCCTGTGGGCTCCATGCCCACGAGCCCTTGAGGGCAGAAAGCCATTTCTTAGGCACAGATAGAGGAACATGTGCCAGCCTGGAGTCACTGCTTGTAAGGGCAGACTCCCATGCTGGCACAGTCTCTCGTACTGAGCCAGGCAGGCCCTGTCAGCAACCATGGGGATGGCTGAAGCTTTCCAGAGCCCTTCTGCTTGTTTCAATTACTGTTGTGTGCTTGCAGTTAACAGCTCCAGCTCATTTGTTCTCTGTTGCCAGTTTCTAGTGCTTACAAACCCTTTGCAGGTGGTGGGGGAAGGTTGGGGAGGATGTGTTTAATGACTCTATCTCTAATCAAGAGGATGTCTGTCCCCTAAGCACCGGGAAGAAAGGGAGAGATTTCTGCTGGGGTGCTCTGCACTTCATGCAGATACAAAGTCTGAGGGGTGCAGAGCTCTTCCACCCTCACCCTGGATGAGTTGCTGACAGTCAGCACTGAAGCAGGAGCTAATTGCACTGTTGGTGGGAGCTCTGCACTAATTCCATAGCAACAGGGATGAGGCTTATTTGAATAGAGGCAAACTGACCACACATACACTCTCCCTTCCCAGGGCATGTTAACTGGCCTAAGACTTTTCTTTTCAGAGACCAGCGCTCTTCCACCCTCACCCTGGATGAGTTGCTGACAGTCAGCACTGAAGCAGGAGCTAATTGCACTGTTGGTGGGAGCTCTGCACTAATTCCATAGCAACAGGGATGAGGCTTATTTGAATAGAGGCAAACTGACCACACATACACTCTCCCTTCCCAGGGCATGTTAACTGGCCTAAGACTTTTCTTTTCAGAGACCAGCTCCCAGTAGCTATTTTTTTTTGCAGGCGACTGCTGAGCACCTACATCTGTGAGTACTCTGCACACCTTACTGCCCCGTGGACTCTCCTTCACTTGGCTTGTTCCTGGGTGAAGAGCACAGGCTGTGTCTCTTCTCCATGTGGTGTTTCCATGTTTGAGCTGGAGTCTGATGGAAGGATCAAAAAGGGAGTTTCCAGCTGTTACAGTTGGACAGGACAAAGTACAGTGCAGCAGCTCACTGTGCTGCAGAGCTGTTGTCATCAGTGGCCTCGAACCATTCTCATACTCAACCCCACGAAGGCTCCCAGCTGCCTGAGGGCCTCTGTAAAAGCTCTGTCCTGTGCATAACAGAAAGATAGTGAGATCAAATCGTGGTTCTGGCTTGTGATGATCTGTTAGAAAGGGGATCAGGTCTTTCAGCTTCTGTGAGACCTGAGCCTGCATCATGGCAGGTCCTGAGACTTCCTCTGACCACTTGTCTTGCCAGGTGCAGTGAAGGCAGTAGTTTGCAGAGAGGTTTTGGTGACTTGCTGAGGAAAGATCTGTGTATGATTGTTAAGTACACATGATTGTACCCTTTGTACAGGCAGTTAGGGCTGTGCTGTTCACTTTGCTGTGTGCCCACAGCTCAGTCTGCTTTGTCAGTAATGACAAGTTTCAGTGCAAAACATCTTGGTCTCTGATTTTCTCTCTTTAAGGCAAGGTGCTGGGCAACTTGCAGCTAAACCTTCTGAGTAAATCCAAGGTTTATGAAGACCCAGCTCTGAGTGCCATTTTTCTGCACAATAACTACAACTACATTCTGAAATCTCTGGAAAAGTAAGTGTGTGTCTGAGTAAATCTCCCTCCAGTCTAAGGCTGATTTGATGGGTTTGGAGCAGAGCTCTGCACTGAGAGCATTTACTTGTCAGCCTGTCCCATATCTGCTTTGTCCTCCATTCTTGAAACTGCCCTTTGGAAAGTTTTACACTATTATAAACATGACATTACACAAGAGTGGAAGATAAAAGCATTAGAAATGCCTTAGGTTGTAGAGAATCCTTTGATCTTGGGAGGACTGAGGATGTGGCTTTGGAAAGTAACTTGGAGTTGCTTCTGTCTCTCAGTTTGTGCATTTTAACGATCCATGTATTGTAAAGAGCAGAAAAGAGCTTATTGATGGGGGGTTGAAATGTCACCATCCTGTTAGCAGCCCAGAGAGCACCTGGCTCAGGTTCTTCCTTCGGTTTTCTGCTGTTCCAGGTCTGAGCTGATCCAGTTGGTAGCTGTGACACAGAAGACAGCAGAGAGATCTTACCGGGAGCTCATTGAGCAGCAGATCCAGACCTACCAGCGCAGGTGAGGTGACATCCTCCGCTTTTCCCTTGGTTTGGGCAGTTTGGGAGCCAATGCTGCTGAAGCAGTGGGAGACACTGGCCTAACTCAGAAACCTGTCTAAAACCAGAGCCAAGTATTCTGGTTTCCAAGGGATTAAACTAACTTGGGTAAGGGGTCACTGTGGAAAGTTTTGGGGTGTGTATTATCTGGGATGGTGTTTGGGTCATGGGTAAAGACACAGATGCTCTGGTGAGGGATGAGTAACTCCTCTTTGCCTCTTCCCCATCTCATTTCACATGCAGCTGGTTGAAGGTGACAGATTACATCTTGGAGAGAAACCTGCCTGTCTTTCAACCAGGAGTGAAGGTGAGAGGATAGGCAAGGATGGGTTTGAGATGACAGAAATTGCCAGAAACATCATCTTCTTTGTTACATCAAAAAATTCCCAGAAACCTTCTTTAAATCTCACACTCTGCAGAGTGATTTCTGTGGCTGGGACAAGATGGGGAGCAGCAGTGCCTTCTCATCTCCCCTGCTCCAGATTCATCCAAGTCTTTTAATCTCTGCCTCCACTCTTCTATCTTCACTTGAGCAGATATTTCTATTTTGGATTTGCAAAACCCCAAGACCTTCCCATAGAAAGGGCTGGAAGCATAAAGAGGTCTATTTTTGTGTCTGTTCTGGCTGAAAATTACCCTCATTAAACCTACTTCAGCTGAAAGCCACTTGCTGAATGTAGGGCACGCTGCTCACTGCAGCTCTCCTCGCTGCTTTGGGAGAGGGATTCCAAGCCAAGTAGGTTGGATATTGCTTAGGTTGGATTGGGGAGATATGGGAAAACTGATGTTGGATATTTATTTCCGGAGATGAGATAAAATCCTTTCCCTCCTTGTTGCAGCTGAAGGATAAGGAGAGGCAGATGATAAAGGAGCGTTTTAAGGTAAGGAGGTGTTGGATGGGAGAAGAACATTCCCTGGTTGATTGGGACAGACAGATCTGCCTGAGGAGATCTTAGAGGGAAAGATCATCAGACTCAGTGTGGAGATGTGATTGCAGATGGGATGCTCACTGAGTTTTACTTTGGACAGGGTTTTAATGATGGGCTGGAGGAGCTGTGTAAGATCCAGAAGGCCTGGGCAATCCCAGACATGGAGCAACGGGACAAAATCCGCCGGGCACAGAAGACCATTGTGAAAGAGACCTATGGTGCCTTCCTGAACAGGTGAGACATCGTGCAACATTGTCCTCTCTTCTTTGGATTTACTGAGGTCTTTGGGGCCTAGAGTAGCCTGAGATGAGGCACCTTTCTACTTTTCACACTCAAACATCCCCAGGATGGACCCTGTTATAGTTGCAAACATCTGCTGTCACCCCAATTCCTTGGTCAGGGTGAGCACAGATGTTCTAGTGAGCACAAAGCTCTCAGCCACCCTGGGCTGTTCAGGTAAAACCCAGGAGAGCAGTTGTAACCAGGTCACTTGCCCCCTACAACATACTCTGTCAGATTCAAGTGGGATGTGCTGGAGTGTAGCTGATTTGTGACAGAGGAGGGACCAGTAGGTCTCTTTGCTGTGTCCAGTCATTCATCACCTGGGGATTGCCTTCCTTTGCAGATATGGCAACGTGCCCTTCACCAAGAACCCTGAGAAGTACATCAAATACCAGGTGGACCAGGTGGGGGAGATGATCGAGAAGCTGTTTGACACATCAGCATAAATCTCCAGCTGCCAAGTACAAGTCAGCACTCTTTCAGCAACCCTTGGGACTCCCTTCCCTTCTCCCCTGCCCCATTGTGGTGGGCAGGGTGTTATACTTGTATTTATCAGATTTATAAACCTGTGGAAACACTACCTCCTGGCTGTCCTTTCACCAGATCCACGGGATAAGGCAAAGGCTCCTATGTGGGGCTCTCTGGGTTCTTATGTTTGCATATCCTCAAGCCTGGGTATGTTAATGCCTTGATGTACAGCAGACATGGGGAGTGTGTTTAAAAAAGAGAAACAAAAACCTCACGAAAAGAACCCCAAAGCTTTATGGGCACAGCCCTTCTGCTAGGGGGAGGAGGCTGTGAGCTCCAAATGGAACTCCCTGCTTCCCTCATGGGTTTTTGGAATCTCAGTTCTGCAGAATCCCAAAGGATTCTCACATGGTTACTCTTGGCTGCTGTTTAGTTCAGTGGGTGAGGCATGATGCTGATTCTGGGGAGTGGTGGTGCCTGGCCATGGTGGTGCCTGGCAGGGCTGCAGTCTAGTCACATACAGGGGTGTTATACCTCAAAATTTGGTGAGCTGTCCCAGTAATGTCACTCTGCTCTGTGTGAGGCAGTGTCAGATGGGGGGATGCCAGGCTGGAGTCATGACAGAGCAGTGGGAGCTCCATGGCAGCCTGACTGGGTGCTGCTCCTCATTGATCTGAGGCAGAGCACATGTAGAAGTGTTCCCCTACTGATTTCTGCTCAGCACCTTCCTCCCATCCCTGTTTTCCTTCATCTCCTGGCTTGTTAAATCTGACACATCTCTTTCCTGCAAGCACCCAAGTCTGTTCCCTTCATTTAGCCCACGAGCATTGCATGAGGAGCAAGTGCTGCTCTCCCACATGCCTTGGAGCAATTCTGGCAAGCTTTGATACAGGAGCTGGACTCTGACAGCTTTGCAGCAAGGCCTTTCTGAGCTTTGGAACACCTGTGTTGTTTCTGTAATCTCTGGCCAAGCACCTCCTGCTCTTTCCTGCCTTGCTTCTGCTGCTTGCTCCATTATTTGCCTGTAACACTTGAAACAGAGAGTTTCCATAGAGCAAGGAGGCTCACAATAGCTGCTGTTTTGCAGTTTGGAACAAATCCATTATTCACCTGAGCCGTGTTTGCAGGAGTGAGTGTTTGCTGGTGTCTAATTAGCCCAGCAGTGGAAGAGCTGTTGGGTATTGGAACCTGGATGAGAGTACAGGTCCTGCTGTGACAGACCCAGCTCCTTGCCTGGGCTGCTACCTCTTCAGACATCTGTTTTTCAGGTAGCTCTTGGCCTTTCTCGACCCCTGACCTCCTCTTCCTCCTCAGCTTGGTCTGAACCACTACCTGATGTAACAAATGCCTGAAAAACAGCAGCTTTGACAGGCTTGTCCAGCCCAGAGCTGGAACACTCTGTGGGTTCAAGTCTTGTTCACCCTATCTGGCTATTTTTGTGTCTGGCCATGCAGGCTCACAGTGCTGACCTGAGAGCCTCCCTGCAGGGACCTTCCCTCCTGCTTTCAGGTCTCAAATGTCTAAGGAAACCTGAGACCTTAGTTCTTGTTGTTTTTACCTCTGCCAGCTCCGAGAGCCTCCCAAAGACTGGCAGGCGCCGGACAGCGTTGTAAAGCATAAGCAAAGCACTGCTGGCTTACATTGTGTGCAGTGTTGAGCCTGCTGGATACACAGCCAGACATTCACCAGAAGGAGCTGCGTTCCATCCTCCTGGATCCGTTTCTGCTGCTGCAACAGCCCGATCTGAATTTCTTTTTCCAAGAAAGTGGGTGGATTTCAGGTTAACCTGTAAAACATTTTTTATTGTGGCTGATCCCAGGGCGAGGCAATTCACCTGGAACAGTCACAGGCAGAGCCAGGGGAGGGAGAGGGAGCTTTAACTGCAGCATTTCTGGAGCACCTGAGCTTTAGTGTGCAGGAGCTGGAATCCTCCCTGTGCTGATGCTCTTGCGCCAAGCACAGTCCATGGAAAATGTGTGAAATCCTTTAGGGCCTGAAAGCCATATCCTGCTCTCCAGAGGCTCTGGGAATGCCTCTGCATGGCCCACACTGAAGAGGCATTGCTGGGCTTTACTGTCAGCCCATTCCCCCAGGAAGGCTGTACCAGAGGGCTGGTGAATTGCTGGTCCAGCCTGGCTCAGAACTGGGGAGATGTGGCCAGAGATAGGATGCAAAATGTCCCAGTCTCTCCATTACCAGCTGACTGGGTTGCTTCTACCTCAGGGATGCCCTGGCTGCATCTGGAGGAAAGGAATGGGGGTAAGAGGCTGCTGGGGGCTGACAGCTGAGCTTGGTGGCAGCCACACAGCGAGGAGGAGCTGGAGGCAGTGATTCCCTGGGGGAAGAGGTAGCTTCTGCTGCTCTCGGGTGTATGGCTCCCAGGTGGGTATCCAAGACCCTCATTTTCCCTGAGCTAACAGGAAAGCTGAACCACCTAATCCCTGTTTCCTAAATCCAGCCTCCTGCTCATGCTGGCTTTAATCATTCCCTCACTGCCTGCAGGGAATGAATGTGGGGAGCTGGATGGGCTCTCAGCCTTGCTGAGCTGCTGCTCGGGCATCGGGACCTGCTTTGGGAGCAGCAGTTATCTGCGGCTCTTCCTCGGGGTGGGAGCGGGGGGAGCTGCTCACCCGCTCCGGGCTGACCTCGTGCCGTTCTCCTCCAACACTTCGCAGCACCGGGGAAAGGCTCCGCGGGCTCCTTGGCTTTTTATGGTAAGGAATGTTTGCAACAAGTTAATTAAGAGCGATCATGGCAGGCAGCACGGTCTGACCCTCTCACAGCTGAGCCCTTCACACCCCCTGAAGAGCTGAGCCGTGAGCGATGCTGAGACCGTGGGAAGGGGCCAGGAATGGGGCTGAGCCCCCTCTGCCTCCCCCTCTGCTTCCTCCAAGGCTCCTATGGGGTTTAACACCCCCCCCTTCACCTCCCGTTCTGCCCTGACAGACTCTCTGATTGCCAGAGCCCCATTTCTCCACTGTTTTTTTTAGCTCCAGGGGCCAGGCTGGGGGATGTGCCAAGGTCTGTGTGTGCTACCTGCTTGCCTCCTCATACTGGGGAGCAAATTTGGCAGAGTGTTTGTAAACAAAACGAAAGCAGAATCCAAAACAACTTCAACACCAGGGATAAATCCACATGCTGGAGAGCCCACATTAACTGAGGTTTCAGCCAAGTGTTCCTCACCTCCCTGTCCACTCTTGGGCTTGATGGGAGCTCTGTTTAGCCCATTTATTTTCCAGTTGAATCTCCTTTTGTTAAACTCTAACTGGAACATGGGGACTTGCAGTGGTCTTAAGATAAAACCTCCCAAGGGAATGGACCTGGAGCCAGTTTCTCTCAGCTAGGAGGATGCTAAATGGCAGCAGGTCATGATGCTCTTGTCTTTTCCATCCGGGCCTGATATGCTCTGTGATTTGGGGAGGAAAGTCAGTTCCCAAAATGGTTTTATGCTGGCAGCAAAACCTGGTGCTTACCTCTGGAGGGCTCAGCAAGGCATGGGCTGGGTGGGACGGTGTTGGTTTCCTCCTCAGACAAGCAGGGACAGTGGCAGATAAGCTGGGAGGAGCACTTTTCCCTATTTTTGTAGTATCCTATAAGTGGTGCAATGATCCAGCAGCTGGCCCAGGCTTCACTCTCACTGCCTGCAGACGAGTCAGTACCGATCAATGGGTGAGGATCCATAAAACAAGGAGGGTGGGTTGGATGTGTCACACTGCAGAGGCTCGTGGAAGTCCTGACCTTGCTGTCTGATCACCACAAAGCACCTGCTGCTCCTGCTGAGGGTGAGAGCAGCTGTGTGAGCCATGGTGTGTGTGTCAGAGGGATTCAGGGGTGCTGGAGGCAGCAGTGAGGTGCAGTCCCCCAGGCTAGATGCTGTGCAGAGCTTGCCTCCAGCCTGCTGCCACACTCTGGGGTCTCACTGCTGAGCAGTGAGCAGAAACAAGCTGGAGACTGGGGTTCCATGGCCCAGGAGAGAGGCTGCAGTGATGCTTTGTGCTGGGAGCTGAGTTAAGGGTGTCCTGGCATGTGTCTTCAAAGTGGCCATGAGGTGGCTGGGCAGCTCTAGAGCAGTTGGCAGGGCAGGGCTCAGTCATGGACTTGGGAAGATGTTGGAAAGGCTGGGGTGGGAAGGAGGGGAGCAGGGTCAGTGTCTCTTCTGTGATGGCATGAAAGGACAGAGGTCATTGCACCCCCAGCCATGCCAGCACAGGGGCCCATGTCCTTGGGCAGTGCAGAGGTGATGGGGCAACATCTTCATCCCTAAGGACCTCCATCCCTCTCCAGGAGAGGGGGTTGAACCCCTTGGTGTGTAAGGATCCACTGGGGCCAGATCCTGTGCCCCTCTGCACAGAGGTGGATAAGGGCAGGAGGAAGATAAGGCTTTTAGCTGTGTTTGTGCAGCTGATTGAATGTTCTCCCTGGCTGTGAAGGGTTGAGCAGAGAGATAAATGCAGATGTAATTAATGGAGCTGTTTATATGCTGCTCTCTGTGACTTATGCTGTGAGCAACCCTAGACTAAATATCAGTGTTATTGATATGAGGCAGTGGCTGATTTATGGCCCTCTGTGTGGGGACAGGAAGATCTGGTTATAATAACACTCAGCAGGGGAAAATAAATGTTTTACAACCAAAAACTGCTCAGGAAGAAAGGCAAAGTATTGGGGATGGGTGGAGGAGGGCTGTGTTGGGACCAGACCCTCAGGTAGATAGAAATAGCCTCCTACGATGCACTCCAGTCTTGGGGAGCTCTGCTGTGGGAATTCACAAGAGGGAAATCTGTGCAGACAGACTTACACCCTCTGTAATGGCAGTTTATAGAGAGTGATCTTCACAGGGACTTGGTGCTGCCAGAGTACAGACATGGGAATCGCAGGGATGCTCAGCACAGCTCGTTCCAGCTCTCGTGTGCTTTCACCACCACCTCTGGCTGTGCTCTGCCACAGGGTTTTCAAAAGAGTTAATTGATCCTATTTCAGTGATACTCTTGTACAGAAATGAGGGTCTCTCTTTAAAGCAGTTGCAGGGTTCAGCTCTCATGGAGCCTTTGCAGCATTAAGAGTGTGTGTGTGAGTCACACAGCCTCTTGTGCACAGGTGTGGCTGCATTCAAGG